TCCCTGAGTTCTTAGCACAAAGAAGGACATCTTTCAAGGTGCGCGAATTATCAAAATCTTACTTCAGGAGCTCACATTTCTCCTATTGGGTGAGAACTTCGAAGAAACCTTCCTGAAGGCGGATATCTCAGTGGACTGTACGTATTGTGCTTAGGTCGTTGGATTGATGGGTTTAACCAAAGAATCCTGCATACAAACGTAGATAGAATAAATTTAAATGAGAAGAAATCACATGAAACACACAAAGGGTATCTCAGTGAGTTGGTATAGCGATCGACCATATATATATACTTATTTATGTAACCAGTAGTTACATGCACTCAGACAATAGATTAAAATCTCCATTTGCCCAAAGCTTTTGAAAAATTTGTATCCTTAGACGTCCTTTTGAGCTTTCCTCGACGTTGTCTGAATATTTGCCAGTAGTGAACAAACACCGTAAAACAATTCAGTAGTTTTCAAACCAACCTTTCATGAGATAAAGAGACGCCGCATTAAATTACTAGGCCAAATATCACCTCTTCAATTTATTAGTAGTACCTGATGATATAGAAATGAAAGAAGAGTGTGTAAAATATAAAATGTTTCTTTTTCAGGACCGGGAACGATTGTCTGGAAAAGTTGAGGAAGTAAGATTCACGTTGGCTGAAATTTTATTTATCTGTTTTTACTTTATGCAACCGTGGAACCGTACTTTGTTGGACGGGATGATTTGTGGGACAAAAAGTCATGTCTGAACAACACTGCTGCATGACATGATCTACAACCGTATCAGCGACCGGTGATTGACACCAGTTTTGATCAGTCTTGGCTACAATCCTCCGAACCGGATTACCCAATAACATCAGGTATTAGATGGACTTCATTACAGCTCCCATCGAGCTGAAAGATTATAGCACATTCGAAATATTGGCCTGTTCGTGCAATACAATTCAGTATGAAGTTATTGTCAGTTTACAGCATAACCTGTGAGGAAAAAAATCCAACCAACCACTTCATACAGACCACCCACTACAAGTCACTAGGGTGTGGGTTTCACTTTTGACAAATCAATTCGGTTTTCACGGGAAACTCAAGTGAATCTCTCGTTTGTGACATTATTCAAATGAATATGCTACACAAAGGCCACCTCCTGTTTCAGTTGGTACGATATTTGAGGCATCGCAGTATATTTTCATAAAGGAGGAACGCTGCCTGAACTTGGTCTAACACTGACGCACACCATCAGGCTTCGATACAAGGCTGTGCGGGTGCGTTGTCTAACCTTAATCAACGCTGACTCGCGCTGCCTGGGCCTTGGTACGAGGCTGTGACGCGCTGCTTATTGAGGGGGCGTTGTCAGTCTGGTCAGCATCTAGCGAAGCTGAGGGTCTCATTAGATTTCGGGCATTCAGCGGTTGCTTTCAGGAATCTGACCTTCCTGACAGTGACTTATATCATTTATGGATGGTGGGAAAACACCTTCGTGTCTCCCGCTGCAACCGGATCACGAAAAGCCGGCTGGAATCGTGGGCTTTGGTGAAAACAGCGTAAGATGATGGTTTTAGAATGTTTGCGGTACATCGGATAGATTCACCTGCAGAATTCGTAACAGCATCCAGATATCCGAACTTGGTTCAGAGACAGCCTATGGCGAACAATATGTGCTGCTCACGTGTGTATGTTTCGGACTGATATTCACACTCTCCCTGCTGAACTAAAAATTTATTTCCGGTCCTATATTTGATCTCACTTGTGTTAGTAAAAGCAGTCGTTCAAAAACAGCCTTAGTGTGCTAAGTGAAACAGATATCGTGGTCAGGTCCAAGCCCTGAGGACTACCTTCCCGTGCCGCGCTCTCATCCGAGCAACATGCATTCTCCAAAGGTCCCAATAAAATCGCAACGCCACTTTGTTTTGATGTTTTTCGGAACCCACCTTATCTTACCAGGTACGCTTTTTTATATCCTCTGAAACACGTTTCCAATAACTGATGCTTAATTCCGTGTAGCGTGTCCCATGACCGTGGAAACTTCTGGCAATTTAGGGTTCGTTGTAGGGGGGTGGAGTTATTAGTGCACTGTTGATGGTGGTCATAGCACAAATCCAAAGATATATGCACTAATAAAGGTTTTTAGTATAGTTGACAATGGTAAGATGTCACACGTATAAAAATAAATACAATGCAAAATTAGAGGAAGTCAAAAGGGGAATGTATCCTCTGTGAGAGTCCCTTGGTGTAAGTCTGGACGGTGGGAGCGTGTTTTCTCCGTAGGATGACTACTACACGTATTCCATAGTTGTTCATGGACTTGTGAAGAGTGATTTACTTCCTCCTCTCTACGCGCGCGCGAGTCTGTGTTGAGGGTGTTCGGTTTCCCTATATGTAGGCCTGTTTGCTTGTACGTAGGCGTGTCAGCACATGAGTAGTTGCTACGCTCACTAGACGGTACAGACATTCGACGTCTTAACGTGACGTGGTTTGTAGGTATAAAAAAGGCAAGTCTCGTGATCCAGTGAGCGGCTGTGAGCTGAACAGCCAAGTATGTGCAGCCAAGTATGCAGATCCCAAACCACTAGCGCGAACAACCCTCCTGCTGTCCTGGCGCAATTATTCATCAAAGAGGTGAACATCGTGCTTGTGTTTCGCTCTTAACGGAACGCATCAGCAGGGTATATCCTTGGCCGCACCAGGGTTCGCATTCCGGACATTGACACGAGAGACGAGCACGTTACCGCCGCTCTACCAACGCATGCTAAATACACCGACTTTATTTTTATTCGTTAGTTCGCTGAAATCTCCAGTAACCGTTTATGTCTATTTACCCACCATTCGCCTTTTTGCTCAGTCTTAAGCTGCGCGGAGTTGACCGGTAAGTGGACAATCTGTGACCGGTCAAAGCTAAAGTGTAACCTCAGTCGGATCGACGACTGCCGCTTCCTCGGGCGGGAACTCCAAATGCTCATTGCATCAGTGGTTAGTGACACTAAGACGTGTCTGCGCGAGCACACAGTCACTGGAGCTCGTGCAAAAAACTATCGCCTTGAATGCATAGCTGCCCAGTTTCCCGAACTAACTGATTGTGCCATCGCCTTTGATGCTTGGCTAACTATCCCACGTTTTCCCATTTGTCGGTGTCCAAAATTGTAGCAGCTGAAGTCAGCCTACCACTGACACAAGGTCTAGTAAGCTGAAGTGAATTGATCTGATGTGAACTAAACCCAGCTGGAGTGAGCCCAAATCAAATCAACTGGAGTGAACCCAACTCAAATGAACCAAGCCCCACTATAAAATACAGCATTTCATACAATCTCCTTCGTTAGTCAATCATAATTGAAGGGTTTATGATTTGCAAGGCGATATGAATGAATGAATGAATGAATGGCGATATGAATGAGTGATTGTGAAAGTGACTCAACCTGTGTGCCAACACACTGTGGATGATTTACTCCCAGAGGATTTCGGAAGTACTATGCTTATACAGTTGACCTGTTGTGAACACGAAAACGTTGCATTCCTCAAAGACATCGGGAGTTTAACGGAGTTTCATAAGCTTATGTTTTGGGTCGGGTTGAATTGAGTGTAGGTCAGCCATGTGTTAGCTAACAGACAGTCCGACGTTCAATCCGGAGAGTTCTTGGGGGATGAGTGAGTAACAAGCACGTAGTAGATTAAAGTCGTCAGCTCATAGAGCAAGCTTTTCACGACATTCACATAGCCAGGAGATGTGCACGATCAAAATTGTTTACCTTTCGGTGTCTAGCTGTAATCTCACTCGAAGGAAGCACGAGGACTGGGTACTGCAAGGTTGCCCAAGCCTAAGTAGATGAAGAGGAGGTGCATAGGTCGGGTTTGAACCACGGACTTTTCGGTGAGCGAATTTGCGCTCTAACAACTGAGCCATTTTGCCCCCAGAGGAGAGATTCAATGGGTATCGAAACCGTAGTGGGCAAAAGATTTGCACAATACACTCATTTGCACACAAATTGAGTTGACATAATTTCGAGGATAACACTTACCATGAAGGTGAAACCGGCTTTATGAAAGCCTGTGGATAGTCTCTTTCAAGTGAAAATTGTATTATCCACCTGGGCATTCTTAAGCAAACCTTCCCGGTATTTTCTTCAGCTACAGTGTCAATTAGAGTGTAGCTGCAACGAAGCGGTGGCAACGGTAAGTTGTGCAATATTTTTGAAATCGTTTTCTATCTGTGTATTGTAAGGAATTTTCAAGGATTTCTAGTTCAACCCCGGAATTATTTCTTCGGGCGAAATCACTCTGTAGTCGAATACCCCCAAGCACTGTACAATGGTTCGATTACTGTGTGCACTTATTGGCAACAGGATGTTCAGACAGCCATCTGAAACTCACTGAAAAGTCGCAAGAGGTGCACTCCTGACGATTTCTAACGGGAACGAAACAGTTCCTTTGGGCTTCTAGCTTAGGGCAAACTCAATCACTCCTACGTACCATACTTATCCAGCTGTAAAGCTTGGTGAAAAGACCAACAACCCTAACACTGGCCCTTTTTTTCATGTACATAGGAGCCCAAAAACCGTCCACATGTTTGTCATAACTGGCAGCTAGAAGTTCTCCCGTGTGACATTACAACGCTGGTTTCGTCTCAGCAAGATTCACCAACCTACACAATGACATGCTAGAACGTAATGGACAATGTATTAAACATATTACATAGCCGTTGGCCTTAAATGTGTGATGTTCAGCTTCCAATCGTTCTCCGAATCTGTTAGGCTGAATTCCTCACAGATACCGCTTCAGTGCCCGCCGTTACGAGCTGCTAAAACCAAGAAGACTAACCCTCACACTTTGGTCCGTAGACCGGGCCACTCGTCGGTCCGGTATCAGGGCGAGTTCTGATTGGACCCAACAGCCAACCATGACACGGTATTCGCCGAATACCGGTTGCCATTGCCACGTCCAGAAGGCGTCAGAATCTCCAGCATGATTTCATGACATACACTTTATATACGACGTGCTTTACAGGTGGTTTTGAACTGGATTTATACGTTGATTTAAGCTGTGCACCTTTGGTAGTTGTTTTGACGAAAACGATAGCTTGGGAGATTCATACCGAGGACTAAGCGGAAGAAAGTACCGCTATTGCAGAATCACACAGTGGCGAGTGGATATGTGTGCTTTGCTGATACGCATTCCCTTAGTTCTTAGTAACACAGCTCGTGCGAGGCAAAATAACACGCTAATTCTTGGATGAAAAATTACCATATTCATCGCAAAAAGTGGAGCGATCCGTTCAGTGAACTCGCCAAAATAGCTATCAGCGATAAGTTAATATGCGATTCCGGAGACGGACCGTTTTCGAGACGACCCGGGAATTTCCTTTTTCCTTGATGTCCCTTTTCCCAACAACTACTGAAATGTTAGCGCTATCAATGCACTCTCAAGAGCTACTCAACTCCCAGTCAACCACTCTGTCTGGCCACTGATATTTGGTTGTGTGTTCGCCGTCGATGGTTGACTGATGCATTCTCCATTTCACACAAAAAAACTGCCTCTCTACTCTATCCACATTGTTTTTCATTCTGAAATATGCAGTTGGAGCACCGAGCCGCGGAATTAGGTCAACTCAGAGAGGTATGTATTTTACTGGGTGACACTTTTCCTATGGCTTTCAATAAATTACGTCTAAACTGAAGGCATGTTGGACATATCATGTGTGATATTTGTGATATTAGTGATATTAGTGTATGGAAATTGGGAATGACCAATGTACGCTCGTTTGCGGATAAATGCGTCCTAGAACTGAGATAATACAAAGACTCGAAAAGCACAGCCATTTTTCGGTAATGAGTTCCCCTTCAAACAAGCTCAATTTGCAACTAACCGCGTTTCGCAAACTGCGTGCAATTTGGGTTCAAGCATACAGCCTAATTTAAAAGGAAATTTGGAGAACGGCACCTGTCCGTTCAGCCCCAGGAACACTTCTTGGGGCTTATCAGCTGTACGATGTCAAGGAGTTTTTCAGTAACCTTTTTAGTATGCTCTTTCAAGAAACGGTAGCCATTATTCTTCCAGCTATTCAGCAGTTTTTATTATATGGCGGGAGGATGGTGTGTTTTGTCAACTGCGATTTCCGGTAGAATGGTCGGTTATATAACCAACACTTCCGTACCTCTTTCGCCTATACTCTTCCGATCGGATGTTCAGGAGATCATTGGCATTATTTTCCTTTATTGTGGGCCTTTTCATGGGTTGTTTTTTCTGTGATTTCTTTATATGCTGAACAAATAGCGTAGCGTACGACGGAATTACGCCGTTGTACTTTGTTTTCCAGGAAAGAGATCGATTGTCCAATGAAGTGAACAGCGTGAGTCATCGTATCTACTAAGTGTTGGTTGTGCACATCGTTACAGTTTGTTGTGAAAGTCAGTTGTCCCGAATCCTGTAGATGATTTGCTTGGTTGCAACTATGGTATTGGAACAGTATTACTTTGGTGAAAAAGTTAGATGTTACGATCTAGTTGGTCGATTCACCATAATATGCTCATAATCTACAAACTTTTGGTATGCTCTACGTGCGAGCGCTCGAGATTATCCATCGAACATTTTGTCTCAACCTGACTTTGTAACTATCCGTAGGCTGGGGCAGTGAAGTTTAATAACTAATGGTAATAATGTCAACCATCCCGTTGTGGTGTATTTCGCCCTACCAGAAGCCCAAAAGTCAAGACAGCATCATGTTGTCCCTGAGTAGGCGGAAGTCATCGGAAGGTCAGTGGACTCGAGCAGTGAACGTTTCAGGAGACACTTCTTTACCACTGGAGCATTTTGAGTTTATCTGTTTTGTCGTGACATCGCAGCTGAGTTGCATCAGATAACACGATGCGTGTTGGTCTAGTACCAAATGTATGAAAATATAGCTACACAGCCTGTCCTTTGTTCGGCGGAATCCTCTATCAAAAACTTTAACCGCTCGCCTTTACGTACTGCTACGGCCAAGAAGTCTAACCGGCACGCGACTGGTCGAAAACGTGGACCTAACAGCTGATCATGATCCAGCATACGCCGGTTGCCAATGCCACGTGCAGAAGGCGTCAGAATTTTCCAGAATGTTATCGTAACTACAAAGTGTTGTATGTGCATTTTCGACCTGTCTTCGGCCGTTTCATACACTGCGTGCGCTTTTGGTGTTTGGGAGGCTCAGAATGAAAACTGAGACGTGGTATTACGTTAATACACTGTCCGTCGACGAACATTAATGAAACAACAACGATCCATCGTAACTTTTGTCAACTACTTTTTCATTGCATTAGTTTAGTTTGGTCGTTTAATTTGATTTAGTTTAGTGCTAAAATTTATCTTATGACAATCGTTCGGTGATCCTTTCAGCTGCGCCAACAAGTGATGACAGGCACGAAAGAAGCAACAGAGCAGGTAGGTTTAGTATCATACTTTATATATATATATATATATCCATTAGTTATATCATCCTTCTCAAATTTTAGAATGTGACGGAAAGTGAAAAAGACAAGGATGAAGTTACACCTAAATTCCTACGAGGCCATTCACAGATTGTGCGAACTTGCAACAATCTTATGGTATCGAATAATGCTTCATGGCAAATTTTTCAGGCTACAAGCTCATAAACTATCAACTTATACCTGTTTTATCATTGAATCGAACGGTAAAAACACTTCACAATCAACAGGAGATTAGACTGATTTACTCTATGGGACTGCTTTGGCTGTCTTGATAAACTGTTGCGCCAGTTTTATTGCTTTATTCTCTCGGATTTAGCTTGAAGGAGAACATAACCAACTACTGGAGTGTCTTTCAGATTCCTGCTGTTGACTCTCGGTAGAAAGGACAGTCCGCACAACCATTTGAATAACATCATAAACCAGAGATTCGTTTGGGTCTGTTATAAAAGCCAAATTGGTATGCGAATAGGTGTAGTTCGCTGACTGTCTGTAATTTTTCGAAGTGCTGTATGCTATTCGGGTGGAAGTGTGTGTGATACCTTTAGGTCTTCAAAAAGCGATGTCCACGAACTCTAGTTAGGATGGGTTGGAACTAGCGAATTCCCACTGGATTGCACGGAAAAAGGGTTCTTCCTGAAGTTACTATGTTGATGGAGTTCATTCCGCACTCATCGTCATCATCATCATCATCGTGATCGACAGCGTGACATCGGAGTTCAGCACCGATGCTTCTCTGCCTTACAACCATGCTTGATTTGAAAGCCTCATTGTGGGGAAGGGACTTAGTGCTACCTAACGCTAATCATTCCGAGGTTCCCACACCTCCAGAAATTCATTCCGGCAATCGGATAGAAATTGAGAACAATAAACCGACATCGGTTGACAGCCATATCGTGCACTGTCTCCAACCAGGCGCAGTGGGGATCACGCGGTCCCCACCCTGGGAAGCGAGTGGCACTGACATCTACCCGAACGTTTCGTAATCTCGTTCATACTACTCCACCAGGTCAAGGGTTGGCCACCTCTCTGCTTCCGCCACTCTAAATTGGGCACGGAAACAGCACTCTCTTCAGTAAATGATGGTTAGGCATGCGCAATGCATTGTCTAATCAATGTAGCTTCTGGTACGGGGACTTGCATTCAAGAATGAGTCCAGTACCAGAAGCTACATTGATTAGACAATGCATTGCGCATGCCTAACCATCATTTACTGAAGAGAGTGGCTTCCGCCATCTAAATTGGGCACGGAAACAGCACTCTCTTCAGTAAATGATGGTTAGGCATGCGCAATGCATTGTCTAATCAATGTAGCTTCTGGTACTGGACTCATTCTTGAATGCAAGTCCCCGTTACACAGCCAAAACCTCGCTTTCTAACTCTCGTTGCGGATTCGCTGACACTAGCTCACGCTAGCTATGGTTCTGAGGCAGCGATTGTCGAGCGCCTGAGGTCTTTTCAGTTCCGCTGCTCTAACAGGCTAAGTCTCATAGCCATACAACAAAACAGCCCTCACTGTAGCCTGATACACACGTACCTCGAGATCCAGGGATATACCTCTTTGACGTCATAGGTGTCTCAAATCGGCAAATATGACCCGGATCTTGCAGATTCGCGTATTGACCTCATCTGTCACACTACAATCAGAACTAATGCAACTTTCAAGATACGTAAAGCGCTCAGCAACTTCCGTAATTGGCGTGTTCAATTGCTGAATTACCTTACATTTTGTGGGTGAGAAGCACATACCAAAGGATGGGATAACTTTTGTCAATTCATCCAAAAACACCAGCACCTTCCCCTCCTCTTCGAAGACGAGACCAATGTCTGCATATTGCCGCTCGATAAGGTTTTCTTCACAAGCTGTTTGAACACCGGAGTTTTGGAGACCTTCCAGTGTTCGTCTCATGATTTCATCGATCACAAAGTTAAATAGGAGTGGAGAGAGTGGGTATCCCCGACAGACACCACTTTGTGTACCGCTGCTACAAATTCCCGGATGCCAAGAAGAACGTTATTTCTCGTGCTCAAGTGGGAGTGGTGAATACCCTAACATGGACAGGATGTGACATAACAGAAGAGAATGTAGGTTGTTACAAAAAGTTTGTTTCTGTCACCCTTAATTTTTTATAATAGGGCCCACGTAACTCCCTCTGTGTTGCCTGTAGTTATTGAAGTATATGGTGACCAAGCAATGTTAGTTGCAGTAAACACCGCTTTCAGTTTTCTCTGTTGCATCAACTTCGGCGAATTCTGAGGGTGCTGATGAAGTGTGTGTCTGATGTCCACGAGATCGTTGGCCTGGATAAAATTCAAGGCATTTATTACAGACTTGTATCACCGCAGGTGACACACCCTGTGAGGTCAATCCATGCTGAAAAACTGAGAAGTACTGTACAGTTGTTGCATTCTTATCGGGGTTCACCAGCAGTACCCATCTCGCAAGAATGAGGGAGTTTCGAATTCGTGACAGCAAGTAGTTTGAATTGTAAAAACCATTCGGCCACGAGTGGCTGAATAGTGGTGAGATTAACTCTCACCTAGAAGAGTTATATGATAGAATACCTTGCAAGTTGACCTAAGTCGGCTACTATCAGAAAAATCTACGCTAGCCCCGCCAATCAGACAAACCAAACACGTGATGCGGTTTTCCGTTACGAAAATGAGAGCTAATCACTCTGCTGATCAGCCATTGATGGCCAAACTTAAGTGTTCAACCACTGGCCGAAAAGTTCCGTTTTCTATAGAGGAAAATGTCGGTAGCTCAGGTAGCGTAGATGGTTGGTGCTGGCTTGTTCGCTTAGCTGGGCAATTTGATTGCAAACGTTTCATCGCCAATCGAGTAGACATCATCAGTGCGTTATTGTGGAGCGTGATAGTGCATAGCGGTGGGTTAGTGGTTGTGCCAACCACCACACCCGCACTGATTATGTCACCTCGATTGGGGATGAAACGTTTGCAATCAAATTGCCCAGCTCAACGGACAAGCCAACGAAAAGTTCCGTGTTCAAAACTCTCTGAGTTGCATGAGATGCGCACTTCTGATGATGCCCAATAGGATAAAACAACTGCATAGTGCTTTTCCGCTTTTCAGCATAGATTGGCTTCACCGACAGGATGAAATCTCTACGGAATGTGGTCAACTCTCCTTACAGGGCTGATCAAGAGAGTGTACAGAGCTAGCGGTAACGTCAGCTATCTTTGTTGGACTGGGTGGAACCGAAAATGGCTGTTACTACACCATCAATGATGATACAGAACCTTATTTCTTAAATCATTTCAAAAGTATACTGCAGAAGTCCACAACAATCTTATGACCTTCTGTGTAAGAATGGCGTGCTGTTGACTACACAGGATGTTGTAATGTCTTTTTTGTGACAAAACCTTATCTAGCCACTGACGCATAACTGGAAAACAGTTCTTAAAGGTTATGGAAGATTCCTGGCAATGTCAAGCTCAACAGCCACACTATGTGCTTCAAACTAGTATCCCGATGTGGTTCGCAGCTTCACTTCAATGGTTTCTATCTCCTACGTCTTGTATCAGAGAGGTGGTCTTATATAAAAGAGTAAGGTAATGAGCATCAGTCACTGGACAACTCGTGCATGAGGCTCATGTTTTCTGAAGCCGTGTGTTGTTCCACCTCGGTGACAACCCCTCCCCATATCATCTGAGAGAGTTCCTGCCCTAACACCACCTCGAACTTGAAGGTCTTCATTCAAAGAAATTCGGGCATCTAGAAGGCTCATGTTTTCTGAGGCCGTGTGTTGTTCCACCTCGGTGACAACTCCTCCCCATATCATCTGAGGGAGTTCCGGCCCTAACACCACCTCGAACTTGAAAGTCTTCATTCAAAGAAATTCGGGCATCTAGATCTACCAAATCACTAGGTCCACAGTGATATGACGAAACTTCAGCTCGCCGATTATTTCCACCAAAGGTTGCTGTTTTAAAGCGATTCATTTTTCTAGTATCAGTAATTCTTTTTCCATATTCTATCCGTTATCTTATGGCTGAAAGAGTTAACCATGCTTTGTATGCACTTGCTTCATTTAAAAAAATGGACCCTATGCACTGAGGCAGGCACATTATGCGAAGCTTAGGTTTGGAGAATAGATAAAGACATTAAGTTCATCATCTAGAGCAGCTCTTCGCGATGTAACTCTTTAACTGACAGGAAGGCATGGCCGAATCTTCTGTTCCAAAATGTGGTTCCTCGAAGGTATTTCTTTTATTCACCAAAGTCCCTTTATGTGTCCGTCCTCTATGATACTAAAGACTACCGTCTTGAAAGAATCGCTCACCTTTGGTAGAGGTTTGCTGTTTTGTGGGACAAAGAACTTTTTTTCTGCAGCACAAGAAAAGATGAGACAATCTATTGGAATCTTGAAAGTTCAAACGCTCTTACTGATTGGTGGTCCGTTAACCAACCGTAAGAAGCGCACTTATTATTGCTAGCTGGTATTTCTTCCTATCGGGCTTGTTTCCCGGAGTTTTGAAGAGCGCTCGGTATTCCGAGCAGGACCATCCAGTTGAATACCAGCTTGCTTGCGGCGTCATCGGTCCGTGTACAGTCTAGTTTGCGTGTTGTTATCGTTTTCCGTCTCGCTGGTTATTCTAATGCTATTCAAAATGCCCGTGACATAAGCAGACATATTTGCTCACAAGACGTCTTGTGTATATGGAGTAGGGGGTTTGGATTTACCATGGGCTGTCCAGTCCATCCGAGTGTAGCCAACAGTTTCATGAGTAGGCTTGAATGTGAAGTCCTAAAACCAATATAGGCCAAATGACCTTTGACAAATGATATGTTGACTTTTGAGAGCGTATGAAGTGCAACTCTGTTGTTCTCAGGGCTTCGTTCGAAATGATCAATCAATCACAATTCTTCGGACCTATCGAATAACCAAAAAATTGGTCCCAAACGAGTAAGAACCGCTATTGCGAGTCACCTGATCGGTGCAGGCCATCTGATCAATCCACTCGCGTCTTTCAGCGCAATCTGTCGAGTACTCGAAAATCTGTCGAACGATTTTCGTCAATAAACACTTCAGACAACTGGAGTGACAGTCGTTCGCACTGTTTTCATCAGCAAAACGGACACGTGACACTACCCTTGCCCACCAGACTTTTCGACTACTGAGTTGCCTTGATACCAGTAGTGCAGCAATACTGCATCATAGTTTAACCTAGTCCACTATCTCCCGGCTGTAGTGGAAGGGGCAAGTGGAGGCGATGATCACAAACTCTTGAGTTTCTAATGTGATTCTGACTGAGATTTGCTCACTAGAATTGTACTGCATCTTTGGTGTTTGTAGGCTGCAAGACACAAAGCTGAGCTGGAGGACCTAACTGGAGTACGTTCTTGTCCGTTTCCCATAGTTAATTGTCCTTTTAGTATTTACCATATATCATTTTCTATAATTAACCTACCCACAGTATCTCTCAATCTGTGGCACTGTATTCAATTCACGATCCGAGTATTTTCCCTAGCTATTTGGTCTTAATGAGCCGATGCTCGGAATTAAGATGATCAAGCTAATGCGATGGTCACGCGACCGCAACTGATTCGCTATGACCAGCTTCTCTATTGGTCAACTGAATGTGCGTAGGCCGTCATCTGAGCGGAGGGAACGTACGTGTCACGTGTTGGTGTTGAAAACAGGCACTCAGTATTGGCACAATGGGATTAGATTTCCGAAAGCTGTGACGTGTCCCTGATTGACTGAGTTCAGAGTTACAGTTCAAACTTTTGAGCCCCGTCAAGGCATCCTGGGTCCCAGCGATGCTAGTGAAGTATTTCAATAGAATTTTTCCTCCATAAGTATGACTGCTTCACTGGACAGTGAATTTGGTGAGCCGCAAAAGTACGAACGTAGATTAGAGTAGTTTTTGGTTTGAGCACGCACGCGACAAAATGCAACTTTTTGACTTAAAAGTTTTATTCCACTTGCAGTGATTTTTCAGCTAAGAGCATTGTGCGGCCAAGGAGCTCTTGATGACAAGTAATTCAGGGTAACTGGTCGAAAAAGACCCGGGACAATGGTGTGGTATGCAGGAGCGCTTTAGATTAACGAGAGACATAAGGTAACCGCTGTAAACAGAAGAAAAGCTGTCATTCGGAAGCACTAGGCAGATATCAACCAAAACTATGGTTTCGTTTCCTGTCTGTCACTTTATCTGCTTCTCCGTTAAGGTTTGGTAGATACCAAGTGCAAGTATTTTGAAAGCTCAGCCTGCGTTTGAGTAATTTATGGACTAATGGATGGTTACAGTTTGTGACAGCCAGGGTGACTAACTGAGTTCGCTGCATCCGTTGGTCTGTCATTGTTTATGTTCTCGTCACCCAAACAACCGATCATCGGCCTGATTTAATTGAATCAGCATCATTCAAGCAACCTGAGCCTTCCTATCGACACCCCAACCCAATCATGGATGCCGGAAAAATTATATGGGTTTCTTGAACGAAGAAGCCTGCTATTCGATTTTAAAGTGGCTACTGTGAGAGCTATTTTTTCTATTTTGCACATTTTAGGACAACTTTAAAATGCCAACGACGGGTTGTCTTGCCCTGAGGCGAATTCATAGTGCTGAAACTACCCCAGACGACAGTTCAATTTTGATTCAAAATACCCTTGAGTAAGCAGGTGGTGATTATTTCCATCGGACTGTTTGTGCTGAATTCAGTCTCACTTGTCGAACAGAAGACGACACAGAAGACGAAAAAAGAAAGAGGGACTTACTGAAACAAGTTTATGAAGTCACCCTACACAGGGGGCAGTGTTGGATTTCCCGCGCTTAATGCAACGGCTGCTAGCGGCCTAGAGGCCCAATCAGCTCTAGTGTTCTTTGAAGATTTACGAGCGCTTGGTTTACGGCAAAATGGTCGCTTGATCACGCTGACTAGTTCCCTGCAGCCGGTGAGTGTATAAGGTTCCAGTACATGCCTTCTACTGTTAACTTTTTCTCTCATACACCGCTTTATTTTTCTATTTCAGTCTTGGCAACAGATGCTGCGAACCAAGGAAGAGCTGCTTGAGTTCAAAACGGCAGAGCTTACTAGAGTAAGAGGCATTCTATCACAAATGACAAGCTTTTAGACACTACTGATGTATATGCCGGCCTCACTGTTACTAGAACAACCTCAAAAGATGCAGTTTCACGTCCATAAGCCTCCCCTTTTGGCGAAGCTGTAGACACCTCATTTTTAAATTACTGATCCGTTTGTTATAGCCAGTCGTGCTACATAGTCTTTCGTGCTATCTTTACTCCTGTTCCATTTGAACTGCAGTTTAGCTGGACTTCCAACAGAAAAGTTGGGGATTTTGGTGCTAGTCGTCACCTAGACCCTGACACCTCTCTCGGCAATAACTTTCGTAACTCGCTGGTATATTCACTTGTCTGTTTTGTACATCTTCTTACCCTCCTTTGATATGTGCCCTTCATCGAGACCCTCACACGTACTGCTTATCCTCAGACATGGACCTAAAACTCTGTCATCTGCAGTGTCTTTTTGGACATCTGGTTTATCTTGAGTGTAACACTCACCGGAATCACCACCAATTTGGGTCCTAGAAACCACTGCTATCTGGTTACATGTTGTCGTATGGTTCTGACATCTTGTCATCTGCTCAAGATTGGTTTTCATGGAAATTTTTAATCAGTTGTCCTATGACGTCCTTCTTGTCGAACTACGAATTTATGATCTGCACTCTCTACTGAGCTCAGTTTCCTGGAGCGAAGCCCAAGCTCAAAACCCCTTCTGATGAGTTGGAACAAGGCAAAACTCGAGTCCAGTGCTTCCCCTTTCTGGTGTGAACTCCTAAGAATAACTTATCAGGATGGAAGGAGGATTGTTCACATGAGAGGGATATGAAAGCGAGTTCTACAAATCCCGCAAGCACTAATTTGCTGGAAATTCTTTGATGAAGCGGTTCCTTCAAATTCGTCCCAATATCGTTGACTATTAGACCCACAGAATCAGAACTGGACCATCGCAGGTACCCGTTCTGTCTCTGAGATTCGCAGGTGATCTACTTCCACCAAAATTTGATAACCTGGACAAGATACGGCACTCCATACACTTGCTTCTCACTATCCCGAGGGCAATCTTTGCCATCTTACTTCAGTAATGGCCGCGTTCAAAACATCGACAATTCTAACAGTCGAGAATTAGTAATCCAAATCCATACAAACTTCCTTCTTCCTCCACCAACCACGCTATGTCGATGGACTCCCAACCAAATCCCAGGTCTCATTGTCATCTATTTTCCTACAATGTCTTGTTGCTCACCTTTTGTCAACCTGGGAAAATTTTATCTCCGTTGCCAGAATTTTTCTCCATTTTCCGAACGCTGTTGGGATTTATTTTACCATGGAACATCTGCGGTTGGACCCTCCCGAATACGTATCACTAGTTGACTTGGTTGACCAAGAACTGGTGTGTCTCGTCGCTCCCCATACTCTGACCGATGACTGCCGCTCCCTTTTCCCTCGTCTGACAATGTCCCACTCTTCAACCAGTTGGAAAAAGTTTGGAACCGACTGAGAATTCATCGTTTCAGAGGAGGTTGGTGAACCCACGGTCAGTCATCAGTTGAAGCACCTTGAAGTGGAAGATTAAATAACCGAACCCGATCAGAATAAATCTGAACCCTGCTCCAACTCAGCAACACGAGATTTAGCTAACCAAACCAACTGACAAGAGCCGTTAATTGACATTCAACACTGATCTAGTGTGATAATCTAAAAAGGTCTTACTGATTGGTTCTCCTGGTGCCTTAAAACCTGGCCAACTTGGTGACCTGCTCACTTGGCCCGGTGAAGCTTTTGTGTCAAAAGCGAAACGCTGCCCAGTTAAAAGCGACCGATTTTTTTATCAAGTCCTTCAGAAATGTCTTCCTCTTAATTCTGCCCTTTCCACTACTAGAAATGTTCTACAACGCTTGATTTCCCTGCTCTATTTCCAAGGTCACTCGCCCGCACAACTCGGCTTTTTAACCCTGGTCACTCACACGAAGTGATGATCTCCATCACTTCAAATCTCTCCAATCCACTTTCCCCCTGAACCGTAAGATTTTGGACACCTCCTTATCGTCCCAAATAACTCATTGAAACCTTTTTTTGGTAAAAACATCCATGCCTCTGACTTGTTCTATTGTAGTAGTGTTCCGAAAAATAAGGTAGCCTATTTTGGAGACAATGGAGTCATCATAAAACTTTTTAGAGGGGCAAATAGGTTATTACCTTTGTAGTGGAGTGGCAAGTACCGAGCTAAAGCTGTCCGATTCTCAGTGACTCGGTGGGACACATTTGCCTACTCTAAGTTACTCGGCTTTTTCGAGTGGCTCTCCCCCGGAAGGAATCTCCAAATGTTCAAGAGTCGGATTCACACTTACTTGTCCACAAATAGCTGATTCAATCTTGTGTGACCACTAGTTTCTCGCATCGTTCAAATGTCTTGATGTGTTTTTTCTTTTCAGTTTTACTTTTGTGACTTTTCTGCGACGCTCTATAATGACGTCTAATCTGTAATCCACAGCAGGCATAAGACAAAATAGAGAACACTGAGGTTCGGTCTATAGCAGATAGACAGGTAAATTTAACAGGACTATCAAAAAACAGCCACCAATGAATAATAGTGCATACGTATGTGTATGGTACGGTACAGAGCGTAATTATAAGCGTACTTCGTACTCATATTGTCACAGCTCACAAGTTCACCGGTGGAGAAGCTAGTGTAGGCTAAATCTTGATACATATCATCCTCTGGTAGGAATCCTCTGTAGTGCATATCTAACGAAGCTCCGACAGTTTCGAACCCTTGACCTTCCGGTCAGTGGTTGAAGAACCGTTGGTCTCCAAACTATCATCAGTCTATGAGTAGCTCAGAGGAATGATAATTTCACCAGATGAATGAAACTTCCATCTGAGAAGTCATCACTCCAGGAACCAGTCAACACTTGTGAACACGTTGTGGTTTCGGTGAGTGAAGAATGGGCGGAGCTACTTCTTGTCCACGTGAGAGCTAAACACACTGTCGATTAACCGCCCGTAACCAAACTAATGTGTTTAGTCATTGGCCGGAAGGCTGTCAGTTCTGAATGAACTCTCTGAGTTTCGTGCACTGATGACGAAACGGTGCGATGCTTCTCGGCTTTTGAGCATAGACTGGCATCCACTAACTTCACTGGCCGGAAGGCTGTCAGTTGTGAACTCTCTGAGTTTCGTGCACTGATGGTAAAACGGTGCGATGCTTCTCTGCTTTTGAGCATAGACTGGCATCCACTAACAGGGTGAAAAGTGGGGGCTGCACCTACCTAGTGAGCCCCGAGTAAGGCAAAACCGGTCGTGAGCGGTCGAGGGGATCTCAGCAACATTATGAGTAATTCTTCTCCAAGAAAACTGGCAAATAAAGCACCACACTCACTCAGGGTTTCCACACTTTAGTCACTTGTTCCGGTAAAACAGGTTTCATCCACTTGGAAGAAGTGGCGGACAGAACCTTAGATATCCTCATTTTTATACACTTCGGTATACACATCAAAACATGTTCAACCACATTCTGCAGTCTTCACTGGTGATGTGATCTGAAAAAAACTCGATGCCTGCCACGAGGACTGCAACCGCCATTCTTGCTTGTCCAACTGTTCCGTTGGGTTAACAAGTGCCATCTGTCCGTCCATCTGCCGCATGCAGGTTTTTATCTACTTAATGAGTATTCTCCCTACAACCAAAATTAAGGTAAACACACAAAGCCAGTGTAAATGAAAATTGGGTGGACCAGCATCGTGAAAAAATATCTTATTCCGGGGACAACTCCAATGAAGACCACGAGGAGTTTGATGGGGAGGATGAATGAAGTGAACAGTCCACCTCACCTGAGAATTAACTAAAGAACGCTCTGGATATGTAGAAAATGTTAGCTATAAGCTTACCAGTCTTTGATTGGTAGTCCTTTGGGTGAGAGCCCTTCGACCCACATGGAATCGAGTAACGTACCTGGGAGCGCAGCAAGTTTCAGCACCCACCCGTCAAACGGGATGTTGCTAGTTCCTGTTCAGCGCTTGTGTGAAATTCTGATACCAAGATGATTGCTGCAGCAATCAGCCCCACGTAATCGCATGTGATTTCTCAGAAGAAAAACAGCATTTTCTTGAATGAACACTACTCACAAGTTTGATGAAAACCCTTTGAAAGCCCAAGACTTCTTTCGACCTTCTTGGGACTTATGAGCTAGGCTGAGTATGTAGTTTCCGTCCATCAGCCCTATGTTCCACCTGAAATTCACCGGATAGTCTCATTGGCGAGCCAGTTTGTTGTACGCAATTTCTGAACGTCCTGGCCACTTCGGGACATCTTCTTCATGCTCTTGACTACCACGACATTTCTCACATTAGACTAAATTGAAACTATTTCAACCTTTACTGAAATGACTGAATTTATTTTCAAGCTGAAAGAGGACGTTGCGGCATTTCAGCAGGTATGTGCGGACTGCTGTATTAATTTCTAACACGAGTATCGCTCAGCTGAAAACCCCACAAACATCCTTGGTAGTCAGGTAACAGGCAGCATTGTTATTCCGCTCATTTCAGAATCCCAATCTATTTTTGGATCGGAAAGATGAAGAGATCCGACAGGTTTGTTTACGTTGTGCCATAATTTCATCCGTTGTTTTGCCCCTCCTTCCACTGCTTGTACAAGTTACTTGATGATGAGTAGCTGCGATTATCCGGTTTTGTTTAAATAAAACCTCGTAGTGGAAAGAAGAACCAGGGGTAAGGAGGAAGACGTAGGGTTAGCTTAAAACACCCCCACCCCCGCGGTGCCTGCGTCTCAGACACTCGGTAAGACATTCTGAATAAAAACTCATAGCGTGAACGTCACTGACATCGGTTAACCGCCATATTGTTCAGTGTCTCTAGCCGAGCACAGGTAAGGCCAGGTGGTCCCTCTCCTGGAAGATGAACAGCACCAACAGCACATGAGCGCTTCAAAACATCCTTCATTCCTTCTGCCACGTCGAATCCGGTCCATCTCTAGGTTTCGGCCACTCCGAACTGGGCAGATAAAACTGTGCTTGTACGTAGCACAGCCAACTAGGCTTGTAGTGCTGGAAACATTCTATGGGTAAAGTACCGTCTGCATCACGAGAAGCCCGTTTTCTGCTGATCTAATTGTGAATTCGCTGCTTCCATCTGATTCGAGTATCAGCATCGTTGGTCAGAGACCTTATGGCCTGAAGATCGAAGTCCGTACGTACGTAGTTTGGCCGCCAGCAACTACTATCTCAAATGAATTTTAAAGTAGTCATCGGAACAAGCTTTGTTCTGAGATTTTCAAGACTCGAGTTTTGGAATCCTGTCGTCAGCCATCCCTACCCGTACTGGAAGGTAATGCGACACTTCAGTTGCATTCTTAATTCAAATACCATATGACTTGTCTCTTTAGATTATGAATTTTAATTGGTGGTATTTGTCTATTTAAAAATCTTGGCATAAGCAGGCGCTGTCAGATCTGATGATAAACAGAGTCACTTGAATCCGTGCTAGGTTTCATTTGGTCTTAATATTGTCATCGTCTCCTGTTCTGTAAGTCCCGCGAAATCAAACAAAGTCCTCGCCATATCACCCAGTAACAAGATCCTGAATGTTTCATGGGTCAGAGTATGATTCAACCTCCACGAGTTGGGTAGGGCTTGTAACCATTTGAAACAACGGAACAACAACAACACATACTCGCACCCCATTGCCCATCGCGCATGCTCGCTCGAGTGTCGTGCAAACCACTATCAAGTCTTCCTTTTTCTTCAACGTTTTCTCGCTCTCATCCACTTGGAATATTCAAATTTATCTAGTAGACCTAAGATCAATGTAAAATCTCGGGGGTTCACCAAATTAAGAGACACGGCAAGTGATGCTCACAGTCAAGCGATCAAAGTCCGTGACCACTACATCTAATCTTCCTGTTTCTTGTGAGCCCATCTTGTTTTTTTGACCTCGTGAACAAACCGGTTTGCCATTATGATGTTCATTGTGCGGATTCGATAGCCGGGCTTCCGCACAGAAGCTGACAATCGATCAATTGATACCGAACTATGATCGATTGATAATGGATTCAAAAGCAAACGATAATCAGACCGAGAGAGCTGACGGAGTCAACGTGCCGGCACACGCGTGCGTGGGTGCACCATAGTGTGTGTGAACTCGGATTTTTGTGTGTAGGTAGACGCACAACAGTATAAACCGAATACAGAAAAAATAAGCCAAAATCAAAAAAAAGAATGGGAAAGCTGCGAATTCTCAATGCATCCTTCTTACATCATCCACCCAATATTGATTTCCTACTTACAGAGTCGGTGCGAAGTGCCAGTAGAGCTAAAATTTTAAATCCCAGGATTTGTGGAAGTCCTTTGTTTTTGCTCACTAGAATGAACTACTTTACCATAATTGTGAGTAATAAAATGCAGGCTGTAGGCGTATTCATGGTATACGTGTATACCTTCTTATTGCATGCCGAATCTTTTCGAAATGTTTACTATCTGCATTGTGTGTCGTACGGTCCTTCAGTAACCTAGTTCGGATAAGCCATCAGGATGGAAATCCAGTCTAGTTACGTGGATTTTAAAAGGTGAAGTGTAATGGGACTGACGAACAGATCGTCTCCAGTACGCACAGTACTCACTTCAGTACTTCAAACTGCACTGTAACTATTTTGATGACAGAGATCGAGAGGGTGGTACAGAGGCAGAGGCGTTCTAATTCACATCTCATCATACGATTTGCTTCAAGGACCCCGAGATAATTCAACAGTACATTGACTTTGATTCAAGCAATTATAGAACATTGGATGCAGGTCAAACAATGATACCGAGCAGAATTTACTAACATGTTATCACAGGGGGTTCTTGCTCTGATTGCATGCAAAACTGGATTCAAAAAGCTAACATGTCCTAACTTTTGGCTGAAGGTCCCACCATTCTGCTTGACTATAGTATGTGAGCATCATTCAGAAGGGTTTTAGGTCAGTCACCTGCACTGTCTGAGCTCAGGTGTGGGCCACTCTTCCTTATCGAACACTGTATAAACCCTTGGCTCGCTTTGTGTCATATCAAGGACAGTTCAACTCATCGATTGCTCTATACCATTCTATCTTTGATTGGAAGAGAGATCAATGTAGTTGCATGTGACTCTGATAGGAGATTCTTATGTAACAATACAATATAGCAGTGTGATCATGTTTCCGTGCTCCTAAATTACCGATTAGTACAGACTTTTACGGATGTCTTGTTGAAACAGTAAGTCAAGCAAGTCTTTTAGGAAACAACGCAAGACGGCTGCGAGACTATGTCTCCTCAGTCGAAGGTCCTTTGATATTTTCAGGTCTTTGATCAAAGACACCTCAAACCAGCGGATTCTGAATGCGGTGCTTGGGAGATTAGTCCAGCGTTGCAAACTAAGTTTGCTGGGCCGTATGTTGCGCATACGCAGTAACCGCCCATCGAGACGAGCATTGTTCCCCGTGCTTAATTTGGAGTGGCGCAGACACAGAGGTGGATGGAATCTGACCTAGCAGAAGAGAATGCAGGAATTGACGAAAATTTTGGGTGGCGTTGATGCTGTTTGCTCTTCAGGATGTGATTCGCATGACTCTTCATATGCTTGGCTGGAGACACAGAACATTTGGTGGCTATCCAGTGTCATTGGCCTTCATATTGTCAATTCTTATCCCGATTGTCTGACTGAGTGCTGGAGGTGCAGATACATTTGATGTCTGTGGTAGGCTAGCTCCACGTCCCTTTCTCTGCATTCTTCCCTCTTTTATGGAGCTTTATCCAAATAAGGTGACGTGTTTGTTCGGGACTGAGGCATCAGTGTTCTGGACTTGTGTAGCTGTCAGTGATAATGATGATGACGACTGTGAACACCAACCAATTTTTCTTGCATGCTAACTTTGTTTCAACGCCATATTCAGCCATATCCACTTGAGTCTCTCGTTTCTCGTGTTTTCTAGGTTGCTTGCTTGAATGAATGTATCCATATAAGGCATCCAGTGTCTGAAATGTTTTTGGACTCAGGTACAGCACACTTGAACGTTGTTGAAATATATAAAGAGCGTACGTAAATTGCCCACATTTCCGGTGTGGCTTGCTTCACAAGGCCTCTTCCATCTTTTTTTATAGCTCAAAACGGAAATTTTGGTATGTCGAGAAAGCAAACTTCTCCCATTGCTCCTTAACTATTGCTAATGCAACACGCTCTTGTTTGTAAAATTACTGAAACAAAATAGAGAACCAACTTGGAGAAATTTAATCGACTCTCAACACTAACGGATGGGTTTACAACCTGATGTAGCAAAACTTAGTTCTTAAAACCACCATATGGCCAAATATGGTGACTGGCTTTACGAGTGACGGCTTCTCACAATTAATTTTCACCCAACTTATGAAATTATTCTTCCTCTGGGCTAATTATCGATTGCTGGTTTATAGTGGTCACTGAAGATGATTTCTAATAATGATGAAACAACGGTTCAGTGCCTGTCGGTGTTTAGGCAGGACAGAATCCCCCATTCAAGTAGTGCTTTTGATATGATTACAGAAAATGCTTTCCTCAAGTATGATCAATATTTATGTTTATTGTATACTTCTCACTGGTTGAGCAGACAACAACACTGATATTAATGAATGGAAGAAAGCCTTCGCTGGTTATTAGAAAACGTCAACTGAACAGTTACAGACTATTGGACAGGGGACGAAAACTCTCATATGCATCTTGTTTACAAAAACTGAATATCCATCTTCTCCTTGAAAGCGCCTTCCTGTATTTCCCTGGATATTCATTGACTGTCACTCAAATGCAAGCGAATGCTACAAAGTGACTCCATAAACTCCGTAATATATCTCACTTTTCAAGAGACGCGAAGCGGATTTACCAGAAACATACTCCTCGCGTGCCCATCAGTAGCGTCCACTGTTGCACTAGTACCCTCGCTTGCTCATCAGTAGCGTCCACTGTTGCACTAGTACATTAATACAACTCCAGTTGATCAACTGATCAGATAGGTGAATATTACTCAACCCAGCGCGTTGTTGTCTCAGCTTAAGGAACCAATCAAACGTTCATGACAGTATTGCGACGACACAAACGAACGAATTTATGTTTGACGAGACATCCAGGTTGAGGAGCAGTCACGATTTTCGGTGCAGAATGCAGTACGCTGTTTCATCACTTTAATACAATGGTATGGCCGCGTACGCTAGTCTGGTTGAGGGGTTGAACGCAGCCCTTGATGCCCCAAAAGAAAGATTCTTTGAGTTACAAATATCTCCATCCAATATATCTTGTTTTTTAGTTGAAAGACAGAAGCATTGAAGATCTCAAGACACTGCTACACACAGTAGGTTGGAATACGTCATAATTTTTATTCTTGTTTTTTGTTTCTCATCTTAAATATGACCGCTTCTTGGTTTGCGCAGAAACTTGCGCTGGGAAGTTTTTATCGGGTTTGGATGAAACAATGTTCGCACTACTTTTACTGCTGCTAAGTTTGACCTAACCGAATCACAGTTGTTCTTCTGTTGCTGTCCCTTCGTCATCCGTTACGAAATTTGGTTATGCCAGCCGCACCCAAATGTATCCACATCACTGGATGGATGAGGTGTTCATTCAAAAGTTGAAGTTATCGACTGAAGACAATGCGTATCCGTTTTTCATCGTGACTATCGATTTTATGCATCAATCCAGCGCGGCAGATAGACTTGATATGTGCGTCACTCAGCCGTTATCGTACAATCTAGGATGAGGGGTGGTTTTGCCAGTCGACTGAAACCTAAACATCAAGACCTCTCTTTCTATTTGCACAGTTTTTTCCCGCATTCATTTAACGAATGGAAACGGTCTAGGTGAAGCTGGGACTTGTTAGTTTACTCTGTAGGTTAGGAATCGATAGGAAGCATAAAGTCCATAAGCAGCAGAACTAGTGGCATTGTGAGTTGTCTGAGTGTGAATCACAAGGCGTGACACGTGACCGAAATTGTCCAGTCATCTATCTGAGGGCCCATCCTTATGCAGGCTGTTGCTTCTACCCAATCGCAACTCCACCAGGAACGGATCGCCCATCGCCCAACCTGGATTCACACTCCAATAATCAGCTTTTGCCTCATGCAGCCAATGGCTCTCAGAATCACTAACCATTGCTCTGTAAACCGGTGTGCACATTGCTCACAATTCGTGGCTGATATTGATGATAAGGGCGACAGAGCGAAATTTGTTCACCAAGAGGAAGGAACGCAATTTATGTCCAGACCCGAAAAACAGCGTCGATCTGATAGCTTTGGATCGCGGCACAGACTGCGTTATTGGTGAGATACATTCATTTGTAACTTACACTGGCGTTAATAGGGATCAAACTAAATCCCATTCGTTATTCTTCAACTGGATTTGCGGACCAATCAACGCCTCATGTCTTAGTTACCGTTATAGTCGAGAATCACAGTATATACACCTAAACGAAAGATCCAGTTGGGCGTTTCGTTAAGGGCAATTAAATCTGTCAATAAATGCGTGAAATTGATCTTCAAATTGAACTTAAAATCGATGGAACCTCAGATACCACACGTACCTGGTATACATTAAGAAAGGCGAAATTGTGTCGTATTTTCCTTGAGATACGTCAATGCAGGCATTCAAATTTTAAAAAACTCCTCCTTGAGATACGATCGGATAAATTTCACGAAAGCTGTTCGGGCGTCACCTGTAATCTCGACGGGTTGATGCATGGTAGGAGCGTCGTTTTCCGTTACTCTGAACATTATTGAATAATCTTCGGGTGAAGGTCGAGATGGGTCAGTGTTTAAGGGCGTGAACCTGCTGACCGGAAGATCCGTGGTTCGAACCCGACCTCGTCATCGCGACTGTATCTATCTCTGCTTAGGTGACTTGCTGATATCTCAGGCATCGCGCTTACCTCGGATGACATAACAGCCAGGCAGCAAAATGGTCCCACAGCTGAACGATCACTTTTACTACTACTATTATTACTATCGTTAGATCTCCCAAGTTGGCCGCACATTTGAAAAGGGCACAGTAGGGTTTCTTATACGAAGCAAATCACCGGCTGCGGTACTCTCACTGCATAGCTGTCGTGTAACTCCTGTGAAAACCCAGCTGAAATGCAAGTGAGTGTAGTTGTCAAGATCTGTCCAGTTTGGGTTCAAGTGGAACATAAAGTTCGCGGAAACTCGGAGACTGCGCCTATCTGATGAGCCACAAGGAGGCTGTCGAAGAGTTTTCATTAACCTTGTGAGTAGTTTCATTTATGAAAATATACCATGATACTGTACTAACTGAAACATGGGGCGGCCTCTGTGCATCACTGTTGAATGGAGGTTCCCTTTCAGAGTTTTGTTGATGGTGAAGTAATAATGTTCATCCTTGTCTTTCTGTTAAACGCCACAAGCGTTTTGTGATTTTCAAACTTTTGCTACTTTTCACACCTATATACTGTGCATTCAACTCTTTTTTTTCAGGTCGACAATAGCAATGAAATCCGAAAGGCCAGTTTACAGGTTGGTGGGGCTGGCGGTTAATTATTTATTAGGCAGCCCGGACCTCTTGGACCACCTTGGAAAGTGCCCTTGGCATTAGTTATTGAGCCTTCCTTGCCAAGGACTACTTGATGACTTTGGCTCAGTTTTGAATGCCGAAGTGGTCCTGTGGTGTACAGTAATTAATGTTATTAACTCATTATTAACCATGATACCGCTTGTTTTTGGTTGTTTCGCCGAGCTCGTCCGTTCTGTTGCAAGTGTTTTATCACCAATAGAGTTTATTTTGTCGCTGCGGGGTTTACAGGTCCCCATCTGGAACTCAGTTCGCTACCTCCGACCAAGTAGGTGAAAGGCCGTTCCATCAACCAATCAGTCAACCAATCAATTACTCCATCAATCAGTCAGCCAGTCAACTTCTCAGCTATAAACTGTACCACAGATACAACGGTTCTAGCTGCTCTATTTTCGATCTCCGGAAAGTGGGAAATACGGCTGAGGTGATGTTATTTTCAGTTGTTTCACTCAGTGTCTTTGAGCAAACGTCCCGGGAGCATTTTGACTTCCGAGAGTTTTCAGAGAGTTTTCAGCGACTTTATGAGTAGTGTGTAACGTTTGTCGTGTAAGCACTCATCGTATCTCTGAATTCATTAAAAAAATTGGAGTTGATTTGGACACTCAGTGTTTTTACTGTATGAGGTCGTGAAGAAAGACAAAATGTACTTAATTAATACCTCTTTTTATGGTTTATATCATGATTTATATGTTCCTTTTCGCCTGACGTTCCATTTTTACACTACAGAAGCAGTTGCGGAATGTAAGTTTGATCCTGTTTTACTTACTTTAGATTTTCTAGTTGTCCGTCTCATTTTCTTCAGATATCCCATCTGCTTCGGAAGTGTTCTCTAACAATGGGCATTTTGAACCAACTCTTCAGACTTCACGTACTTTCAGGGGTTCATGAGTAGTTCATGGTTTCTCGTCATACCGTCAACTGTTCTTCCGTATTCCGTCATCCTCACATAGTTTTCTTTAAGGTGGTGACCATACTTAGATGAGGCCACTCTCACTTGTCTTCGAAAGGGGCAGTTTGTCACTATTTGGGGAGTCTTTCACCATTGGAATTGCTTGTTGTTTATCTAGCAAGTAATCAGCTTCCAGATATCTTTATACGAGAATTAGAATGCCTCAGTTGAGGCATCGATTGATTATATGGCTGTTTCTCATCGTGAATGCTTTTTTCAACAAGGTCATTCAATGGGCTTGTTGTGATTTACTATATTACTTGCAGTGAAAAAAAAACAGAATTTTGTGAGATACAGAAGCCTCTTGTTAATTTTTGATGTGTGTCAGTTAATTCATTCCTTTATCGGCCATAAATGATGTTTGTCTGAATTGCTTCATCAGCGGTTCGTCCACTTGAAAAGCCTTCCTACTACTCATAAAGTTGCTAAAAATTCTTTGACAGCCCATGGCCGGTTTCGCCCTTCCTCTTCGGGCCCACCAGGTTGGTAGGCGAAGTCCCTGAGTTACTGTCAACCTTATGTTCCAACTGAACCTAAATTGGACAGATTGAAAAAAAATAATTTCATTTACATATAAATTTGGCTTCTACGGGGAAATCAGTTGAATCTCCTATCTATAATCTTCAACTGACTGTGTCGCACCTGGCCGCCTCATGTTTTAGTTGAAGGACACATAAAAAAGAGATTTAGCTGGATTTTAGATGAGTCTCTCGTGGAAAGCTATCAGCATGCAAATGAATATATCCGTAGAATCCTTTGGAGTTATTTCTTTGACCATAGTACACAACTTACGAGTTTGCTGAAAGCTGTCTGACAGCTTTCCTTGAAACTCAGTAGGTGGGACTAGTCTCTGAATCTCCATCAATCAAGCTGTATGCATTTGGTAGCGCGGGAGATGTTTACCTGAATTACTTTTTTACGTTATTGTGATTAGTCCTCCAAGACATGACGGGCGAATTCGATCGTGGGCTGTCTAAGGGTTTTAAGCGCTGTTGCGTCTGAAAGACAACGTATCGTGATATCTCGGATATCGTGCGGGCTAAAACATGAGACAGCTTTGTGTAACACATTCAGCTGGAATTCAGCTCAGCTTCCCGTTACAACCTTAGCTTCATTCAGTCATGAGCAACAATGTCAATTTCACGGACAAACGTATCTTCAAAAAAGCACCTGTCGTCACCAAATGCCGATTTGGTTTCACTGGGTTAAAACCGCGTAAACAATTGAATGGAATCCCGTCTTGCCTTTGTGCGATTTTATTGGCTGCACTCAGGAAAGCATGCACTCTCAAAGTTGGTGGACTGAAGTTAGCCGTCGTACTCAAGATGACAGTGAATATCTTAGAATACACGTAGGATTTTCAAGAGAAATTTTGTGGTTTGAACGAGGGTGATTTCACGAGATGAGTGTCACGTCTGTCTGAGAAGAGATTTTCAAGCGAAATTTTGTGGTTTGAACGAGATGAGTGTCACGTCTGTCTGAGAAGTCATCACAGTCAACACGTGTGACCATGTGATGTGAACCCCGGATTGGTGACGTCGGATGTTTAAGTATTCGGACTACTAGACAGTAGGTCGTGGGCTCGAGATGTCTCGGTGTTTCGTCCGACAGACACCACCGATGATTCTCAGCATGGATGAAACATCCGTACGGTTTTCGACTTATACACTCATCTGTATATCAGTTTGGATTCGGCGAGGAACCTACCTGGAAACCAACCGAATCTCTTATTTATGATGTTCGGTTCGTGGGCTATCAGAAAGATTTCAGCAACCTTATGAGTAGTGTATTACGTTTATTTCTGTGCGGTATTTCTCGGCTTTCCGGAGTAGATAATTTTAATCATTTGGATTGAAAAATGAGATACGTCTGAAGCACCTGGATTGTATTCATGCTCTTTGAATTGCGTTCTACCTTGCTAATTAATGTGTGGTGGTCAATTTTAAATTTACGGCCATTCAAAATTTACAAACACCGCCGCTTCTCACATATTTTAGGAGCAGACAAAACTGCACGTGAGTAGCTGGCTTGTTCGGCTTTCCTCATTTTGCAATTTAACCTTGTATGGTACCCCAAATGACATAGAAGTGAACTTTTGCACCGAGTACACTTTGTCGTGTCTGCTCAGATTGATAGGCACCCACCAAGATGGTTAGATGGGACTTAACCCGATTCGAATGCTGTTGTGCATATGTCAGTCCAACTCACTCGTTTCAAATTTGAATCCAGAGACACTTTCGCAGCTATCGACCCGACTGCTCACCTTTCCTTCGAACGTGTGTTTATTGCTGCTGCTGTTACTCTAGAATTGCTCAGTCGGATAAAATCGGTAGTCTTATGTGCTTGACTTGCAAAAAAACTCATTCCGTTTCTTTTTCCCATATTTCTTTTTCTACCTGTTTTCGATAACTTCGCTCCTGGACGGTCCATTCAGACACAGAATTGGTTTTGAGACTCATTCACGTGAGCATCTGTAATTTAGTTTTAAAAAAATTTGGGTTTGAGTTGTTGATGATAAGATGCATGAAATTTGTATCATGCATGCCATGGTGGCCAATTAAGTAAATACGATCATCGAAAATCGATAAACTAGGCATCGTAAACTTCAGCCTCCACTTTATTTTACCTTTCTAAAAAAACATGGCCCAGCAAATTTGTGTCCTTTCAAACATTGAGCCACTTTTCCTTTAGGGTATGATTCCGCACCTGGATCAACCGCCTCTGTGCTGTTGTATTCCACATAGCCATTCGGTTTTCGCTTTTTGTAAATTTCATCTTTGTTTTCAAGGTCACCGAAGGAGCATTTCAGGCTCACGTAGAGGCAGTTAACAGGACCGTTACAAAGCTTCAAGATTTGGTATGTACAGTTTATGGTGATTTGAGTGATTTGAACCATATTTGGTTTCATTCAATAATTCTAAATGAACTTTTTCCCTTTTTCTCCCTTGAGAATCCATAATTAGCCTAAAAAAGCACGATCACTTTTTTTATAGATTATTTGTTTTACTCAGCTCGCTGGGGAAAAGTGAACCGCTTTGATATTCTGAATTTGTTCTTCAGGTATTCACTTCTATTTGGGATACTTAACGTGAGGATTACAGCTGGATAGTATTGTCGAAGTTTGTTATCCGTGGCGTCACCACAATTGATTGATCGCACAATTAAGTGCTGACCTAGGTACGCGTACTCAAACGCAACTACTTCGAATGGATGACGCATGCGTCCAATTGCTCCAACACTGGGGCAGTGTTCAACGTATTTTAGGGACATCTACGTACTTAGGACTTGGCCTGACTCTCAAAAAGGATATCGGATAGCACGTTAAACCGACCCGGAAGAAAAGCGTGCAAGGCTCCTATCAACGGCAGTACGTCCTACTAAATTAGTGGTTGAGGCTCCTTCTTTGATCGGCGTTTCAACGTCTTGGACTAGATGAGTCTGAAAATGTTATTACCAGGTTCCATAAATAAGCGCAAAGACTAGAATGGGCTAGACCGATGTTTGTGGACCAACGTGTACCAGCCTGTATTGTATATCCCAAAAAACTGACCAGCTTGTTTGGCCAGCGGAATTCGACATACCAAAAGGTTGGAATGGATTTTTTCAGGATGACCTTCTGATAGCTGGTTCGAATGAATCTGACAGTAAAGTGCGCCTGTCGTTGTCTAAGGGGCTGATAAGTAACACTGGTTTGTCGTCGTTATTGTTAGCCTGAGGCTTCGGGTAAAACCTGAATTGTCTGGCTGACCGAGAGAGATTAGGACCAGTTTAGGATCCCTCTAGCGTCAACATCATAGAAAAAGCGTCGGTGGCCTTCTGAAGTACACCAGAAAAACTCATCTTTCGCGGTCATGGTCTAACTGAAAGAATGGAGAATTATGACCATGTGCGAGTGGTTTTTAGGACGAACATTGATCACGTCTTCCAATTTCGCATTTCTTGTCAACGCCAGTGTCTTACTTACTTAATGTTCTAGCGTCAACATCACAGAAAAAGCGTCGGTGGCCTTCTGAAGCA